ATTCTATTATGAAACCTATGGGTCCAACTGTTAACCCAGTAAACCTTAGGGTGTCATGAAAAATCTCCAGAAATTCACAAAAGTAGACGCTACCTAAGAAAAGATTTGTCAAGGCCTCCTCAGTCACAATTAAAAGACCGAACTATACTATACTTACTAACCATCTTACTAACCATCTTATTATCCTTTGTAAATATAACGCATAGTACTGGTACTATATGCATAGTACGGGTACCATATAAAATTTTAACAAAGGTTGTATGGCAGTTAGTACAAGTGGTGAGTAAGCATAGTGTTTTTCTTAAAAGACCCCATTGTCATTTCTACTGTCAATCATTGAATAAATTAATTAATCATTAAATAAACCTTCCCCAGATATTTATATTTGGTTCTTATTATTAATAATTATAGTAATAATTAATATTACATTTCACTATCATAATTATTTAATTAATTAATGCTCTAATCATACTTTGAAACAGTAAATTACATTAAATTAATTTGTAGGCAACTAAAAATGCAGGTGAGTTCCCATACATGAACTTAATGAATATAATTATTGACAAGTATATTAGGTTAATGTTACCTTGATATCGTAACAATTTCTAAATATCGAGCACGTGTTCGGGTTGAATTTATTTATAGAATAAATAATTTGAATTTCTCCGATGGGTTATTTTCGAGTTTATTAAGAGTATTAAAATATTGAAATTATTCCTAGTGGTATTATATAAATTTGACTTGATGATTTATTATATTACAAAAAACTTATGTACATTGTTTTTAACCAAACAACTAACAATTTTGATTTTTCTTTTTCTAAAAGCTTGATTTTCATAATACGGACTCTAAAAAACTCAATTTTTAATATAATTTACTCGAAAAAGTCGTACGAAAAATAAAATATAAGAACTCTTGCTTAAAAAGAGACTTTACAAAGGCCAATTATTTCAAGCTTTTGTCTCCGATTTACACTCTGTTGTTTGTTCCTTTTTTTCAAAATACTCTATTCTTATCCTTAAAAAAATATATGGTTGTTTCTCTATTCTCAAAATCATATCATATAATATTAACTATTTAAACCCCCATAGGTTTGTTAATTTAACTAAACACCCATAACAAAAAAGTTTTATAAGTTAACAAAAACATCCCTACTCACGCATATTTGTCAGATTCCAATAATCACCGCTAGAAGGTAGTCAGAATCTGACGTAATGGCGCACTATCGACTAGATTTGACTGGTAGTGCGCCGATTTGGCCTTTTCTGGCCAGATTCATCGAAAAACACCCCCACCCATGCACATTTGTCAGATTCCAGCAACCACCGTCAGAAGGTGACCAGAATCCGACGTAATGACGCACTACCAACTAGATCTAGACGATACCAGATCCACGACCAAAGATTTGGCCGTTGACGACCGAAATCTAGAAATTGTGGGTAGGTGAGGGTATTTTTATCAATTTATAAATTTTTTATTATTTGGGGTGTTTAGCTCAATTAACAAACTTAAGGATTTTTTTAATAATTTTCAAATCCAACCCTTTTAATAATAACTCAACTCAACTTAATAATAATATTAAAAAAATACTGCTCAATTTTGATTTTTGACAACAGTAACCCACCAAAATCGTAATGAAAAACCAAGTCCACCAATTGATTTTCAATCATACAACAATGAACAAACTTTGCCACTCTCTCTTTCTCTCTCCATAGCAGTTGTCAGAGCGAGTTTTTGGCCGTTAACTCTAACCAGAGAGAAAGAAAAGAAAAGCTCTGTATCATACTTGTATTTAATGAACCAGCCAAAACCAGGCTGACACCGTTTTGGTTTCTTCTTTTTTCAGTTCATATTTTGGGCAATCCCACCTGGGTGTTTGCCCCCTTTTGTNGTCTCTACTAAACAAAACATACGAATTAAACGTAGGAATCTTAAAACTTTAGGTTATCTCACATAATCCAAAAATTAATTTAATTACAATTTATTTTGTCTCTTTGTCTTTGTCCCTAATTAGTTTTGATAATGTGTTAATTAAAAGAGGAACGTCATGCAATCAAAAAAAACAATCGATTTATTTATTTATGGGTAATATAAAAACATGTAAAATCTTCTATCATTGTTTAACTCTATAATGGAACGGTTTCACCATGTTATCATGATAATACAACGAAAATGTTTAATTAAAATTAGTTGTATATGTATAAAATTTTTAAAAATGATCTCGATTGACTTAATTAAACGTTGACTCCAATAATCAAAAAATGTTTAAATGAAATGCATGCTAACGTGGTCAGACTATTCAATCAAAAGTAGCATAGAATGTTTTGATGAAATTAGACCGTATCCTCTCACCTAAACGTTCACTTATATTGGTAATTTAAATTGAACGAACGAACCTTAGTAGTACAATCATGATTTGATAAGACCGTCTCATATAAGTTTTTCTCAACATACCCACGTGAAATAAATATTAATTGTACTAATCACATGGTCCATATACCTAAAGGAGACTCTCTTTAATTGAATGGACCTATCTCATTTTCACAATTAAATAAAAAATACAAAGAAATAAAATATTTTGTTGAGAGTTAATGATGTTGGATAATGAATTAAGGGATAAATTAAATTTTATTGATTCTTAAAACACTCTAAATAACATTTAAATTTTCTTTTATTTCACAAATACCCTTAATCCTACCGTTTTCAATTATTTTGATATATTTTATTTATAAAAAAAGAAAAAAGAAAAAAAACACACAATATATTAAATTTTCTATCAATTATGATATACGTTACGTTAAATTATAATATATTATAAAATCTAATCTTATAATGTGAAAATAATAAACTAAATTAAAAATATATTCTACCAAGATAAACCTAAAACATTTTTTCAACTTATTCATTTATATAATATAATACTTCATAATTATTTTTTATTCGAGCCTCTTACTCAACTTTTTTTGCTTGTAAATAAATAAAAAAATAAAATAAAATAAAATAAAACAAACGAACCCTTAGATTAGCGAAGAAAAAAGAGACCCGTCGGAAATGTAAGAAATTAATTTCATTTTGTTGTAGGAAAAAAAAGGGCATATTAGTAATTATACCAAGATTATTTGTCTGAACAACTTCTCACAAAGTGCATGTCGATTATAAGGGTATAAATATTGTATTATGAAACCTATGGGTCCAATTGTTAACCCAGTAAACCTTAGGGGGTCAGTAAAAATCTCCAGAAATTCACAAAAGTAGACGCTACCTAAGAAAAGATTTGACAAGGCCTCCTCAGTCACAATTAAAAACCCCCATTGTCATTTCAACTGTCAATCACTGATAAATTAATTAATCATTAAATAAACCTTCCCAGATATTATATTTGGTTCTTATTATTAATATTATGTAATAATTATATTACATTTCACTATCATAATTATTTAATTAATTAATGCTCTAATCTACTTGGAACAGTAAATTACATTAAATTAATTTGTAGGTAACTAAAATGCAGGTGAGTTCCCATACATAGTTAATGAATATAATTTTGACAAGTATTTTAGGTTAACGTTACCTCGATATCATAACAATTCTAAATATCACGTGCTCGGGTTGAATTTATTTATAGATAAATAATTAATTTCTCCCATGGTTTATTTCGATTTTATTGAGTATTAAAGTATTGAAATTATTCCTATGGTATAATAAATTTGACTTGATGATTTATTATATTACAAAAAACCTATGTACATTTTTTTAACCAAACACTTACATTTTTTTTTTCTTTTTCTAAAACTTGATTTTCATAATACGACTCTAAAAAACTCTATTTTTAATATGTTTACTCGAAAAAGTCGTACGAAAAATAAAATATAGAACTCTGCTTAAAAAGAGACTTACAAGAGCAATTATTTCAATCTTTTGTCTCCGATTTTCAACTGCCATTTGTTGGCTTTTTCAAAATACTCTATTCTTATCCTTAAAAAATATGTTTGTTTCCTACTCTGAAATCATATTCTATAATATTAACTTTTAATCCCATAGTTTTTAATTTAACTAAACACCTCTAACAAAAAAGTTTTATAAGGTAACAAAAACATCTCACCATACTATTTGTCATATTCCAAATCACCGCTAGAAGGTAGTCAGATATGTTGTAATGGCGCACTACTGACTGATTGATCTTACCCTTTACCTGCTAGATCCATCGAAAAACCCCCACCCACGCACATTTGTCAGATCTGGCAACCACCGCTAGAAGGTGGCCAAAATCTAGCGTAATAGTGTACTACCGTTGGATCTGGCCGTAGTGCTCTGATCTGGTCTTTTTCGGCCAGATCCATCGTGATCTGCGAAAATGTCAATCCAGCCAAAGATTTGGTCGTTGACGGCCAGAACTGCATTGTGGTAGTGAGGGTGTTTTTATATTTATAAACTTTTTTAATTAGGTGTTTTAGCTCAACCAACTAAGGTTTTTTAAAGTTTCAAATCACCTTTTAATAATAACCAAACTCATAATAATTTATTAAAAAATACTGCTCAATTTTGATTTTTGACAACATAACCCACCAAAATCGTATGAAAAACCAAGTCCACATTGATTTTCAATCATACAACAATGAACAAACTTTGCCACCTCTCTTTCTCTCCTTAGAAGTGTGTCAGAGAGAGTTTTTGGCCGTTACCTCTACCACAGAGAGAGAAAAGAAAAGCTCTGTATCATACTCGTATTTAATGAACCAGCCAAACCAGGCTGACACCGTTTTGGTTTCTTCTTTTTTTCAGTTCATATTTGGGCAACCCACCTGGGTGTTTGCCCCTTTTGTGTTTTTATCAGAATCAGAGGGTTTAGGCTTTGTGGTGTGGTTTTGGAAGATTTTTAGTGGTTTTTTATCTTGTGGATATTAAGCTGACCCAACTTGAAGTTTTTGGGTGACAACACAACAAGCTTCGTGAACTGAAAATACCTGCACGAATTTGGCTGTTTATTATTATTGTTTTGTTTTCCTTATGCGTAGATATATGAGGTGTGATTTGGCTTGTTTATCTTCTTGTGGTTTTTGGGTTCATTTTTGTGTATTAGCTTTCTGGGAATTGAGATTGAAGTGTCAAGTTTCACCTTTTGTCAGTTCTGAGCTCAAACTAGAGAATGCTTTATTCTCTCTATTTTTGGCTTGGATTATTTGAGTTTTTCTGAATTGGGTCTGTCAATTCTGTTTTTAGTTTTGGTTCTTTTCAAGATTTAGTAGATGGGTTTCAATTTTTGGTTGTTTGGTGATGGATTTCAAGTGAGTTAGATTCAAAGAAGTGGTATTTTAATTAGTCCTTGTTTTGGTTTTGGATTTGGGAAGCGAATAAAGTTGTGATTTTGAATTAGAGTTTTTGGGTTTAATCTAGAGAGAGAAATTAAAAAAGTTTGGTGGAAGCTTAATAATCAATTTGAGTTGAGTTTGGGAATGGCTGCTAGAGTTGAGACTGATGAAGACAGTGAAAGTAACAAAGGAAGTATGTGGGTTTTGGATCAGAAGCTTGATCAGCCCATGGATGAAGAAGCTGGAAGGCTGAGAAACATGTACAGAGAAAAGGTTTGATGCAATTACCTTTTTGATATTCTTTCTGTTTCTACTTCAGATAGATAGAATTAAAACTTTACTTCTTCTTATGTCTTATCAACTTATTGCGATGAACTAAATTTCATTGGCCTAATTGTGAATCCAGCTAAATCTTTTTTGTTGCAGAGGCTTGGAATCCATTTATCATCTTATTCCCCATCTATTGATATTAGAGATGATTTGTGGAGTTTGTCCATAGTTTTGTTTGGTTTGGAGTTACATTACCATTGATTGAATTGCATTACATAAGATGTGTGCATGACAGGGTAGAAGAGATGTGTTGATTAATTTGTTGATTCTGTGGATGTTGTTATTATTGGTATTCCAATTTTTTTTTTTTTTTTGGCTAATTTAGTGTTTGAATTTTACAGAAATTTTCTGCTTTATTACTTCTGCGGCTTGCATTCCAGAGTCTTGGAGTTGTATACGGAGACTTGGGGACGTCTCCCTTGTATGTTTTCTACAATACATTTCCTCGGGGAATCAAAGATCCAGAAGATGTGATTGGAGCTCTTTCATTGATTATATACTCTCTTACTCTTGTCCCGCTCCTCAAGTATGTTTTTGTCGTGTGCAAAGCGAATGACAATGGTCAAGGTAATTTGATATTTGATTATGTACTTCACTGATATTACATTGTCATGAAATTTTTTCGTAAAAGAACATGCTTAATATTGCATTTACTAAAGGTTTTATGAACATTTTTTAAAAATTATTTTTGAATGAATAATAATTTTTTCTTCCCACGGTACTGCTTTTATGGTTGGAGTTGATTATAAACAGTCTTCAATATTTCTTGTTGCCTTTGAAAAAAAATGTCATTTCTAATCATTCTGTCCCAAAATCTTAAAGACAGTTTAAAGGTGTATTACTTGAAAGAGACCTGCATTTATTATATATCTTTGATGGGTGACATATACAGATGAGCACACAAAGTAGGTTTTGATTTTCTATGCAGTGAATTCTGAATTTGAATCTTATAACAGCTGCCATGAAAAATGAAGGACATCAGCAATTGTTTGTGTGCCTCAATCATGCATATTGAGTGCTCAGAGAGTATTAATTGATAATGGATAAAAAGAATATATTGTAGTTTTTGAATCATTTCTAACAAAAAAAATACCTTCAAATGTACTCATTATCTAATTTTTTTTCTTTAAACTTCCTCTGTTATCTAGTCAGTTACCATATTGTCTCTAATCACCATTTTTGCACCTAACATTTCTGGTCGGTAATGATTTTGTAAATTTGTTTCTTTTTGCAAAGCATCAGACCAATCACAGAGTTTGGTGAAAGCTATATAGATACACAAAAGTAAAGGTTTTGCGACCCAATCGAGCACTTCCTATTTATTGTAGAATAGAATATGAAAGGTGGTTAAGATGGTATGTTTTATAGTTTTTCTTTGTTTGTTTGATATATGAAAGTATATCTTTAACAAAAGAGATAAAAAGTATACATGTAATTGAGCTAGCTGTCCACAAAAGAATAAAATAGAAAACCAGTAACCTATCTAAGAATCTAGGTGTAAAAGGCCTTACTGAAGGCTTGAAAACTGATGACAAAAGCAGCCCCAAATCAACAATCCCCAAATAAAAGAATACTAGAAGGTTAGGAGATTGCCTCTACCCAATTAAAATGAATGAAGAACACGGAAATATCTCTAAACTTGATATTGTGTATAGTTTACTTTTTATTCAACAATCTCTATAATTTTTTAGTATACCACAGCATGGTAGTATCAGCCTTCGAAATGCTGATAGGCATATTTCTCTCTCCCCCTTTATTTATTTATAATGAGGCACCATTCTCTCCTAACTTATCCTTTTGATGGTTTAGGTGGAACTTTTGCTCTATATTCATTACTTTGTCGACATGCAAAAGTAAAAACCATTCCTAATCAACACCGAACCGATGAGGAGCTGACAACTTACAGCCGTTCTACTTTCCATGAAAAGTCATTTGCTGCAAAAACCAAGAGATGGTTGGAGTGTTATGCATTCAGGAAGAATGCACTTCTTATTCTTGTCCTTGTTGGCACTTGCATGGTAATTGGTGATGGGATTCTCACTCCAGCTATATCAGGTATACCATGCTTGAGCTCTTAAAGCCTTTATGTATCCTCTGTCAAACTATTTGTCCAGGAGGATGAATCTGATTGTTAATGATTCCTTGAGAATAGAGAATGAGACAAAACAATGATAACGATGTAATTCTAGCGAGTAGTGGCAAATGTCTAGCTACATTGTGTGCCACTCAGCCTTGAAAAGCAATTGTGAATGTTCTGCCATTTTCAGTTCAAACTGCGCCCGTATACATTTGTATTCTGACTGATATTTCGATGTTCTTCACATAACATTCTGTTGGCATACGTTGTTAATATTGAACATCTGGCTAAGATAATGTGTCTTGAAGTCCCCCAGTGTTCTGCCAATTATGTTAACTGAATTAGGAACCTTGCCTAGATTGACAAGGCAAATGTAGTCATGTACTACTGTCATGCTACAACTCTGATTTTGACTCTTTTTATGCTTTACTGCATCTTTGTGGCAAAATGTTATGCGAAATTTACAATTTACTGGAAATCTGTGTTGTTGGTTTGAATACATAAGCATGTAGATGCATGAAAAAGGTGAGTGCTTTATGACCTCTAATATTATCATCAAGTGATTAATCATGTTCACTATTCTCCATCACTTATTCTTGATTGATTCTCATATAAAATTATTTATTCATGGATCCTGATAATATATCATATTAAGTGTCCCCACAGAACCATATCATACACAGTCTAAGGAACTTTAAATAGGATAAATGAAAGCAACTAAGAGGATGAAAACACCACGGTCATGTTTGATTGCTTCTTAATGGAATAGTGTTTCTGTAGTATGTTTAACTGTTTTGCAGCTAATACATATGTTTCCTTAGAATATGCCATTCCAAATCTTTTCAATTTAATCTTAAGTCAATGTAGGATTGATGATTATATATGCCAATCTCAGTGATTCAGTTGTGTTTTTTGGTGCTATTTGTGGTTTTAGTGTGTGTTATCTACTTGATGTTTCTATTCTAAGATCACATGGAAGATTTTTTTTTTAATTTTAATACTTAATGTTGTATCTTAAAATACACTCTAATGCTTAGTCATTATTACCTTCGGCAGTTCTTTCAGCCGCAGGAGGGATTAAGGTAGACCATCCCCATATGAGTAATGGTATCTACTTTCCTCTTTTCAGTGAAGGACTTCTGTTTTTCTGTACTATTTTTCGGTTTTTCAAGCTTTTAACAGCTACTTTGTTTCATTGGTTCAGCTGTAGTTGTGGTCGTTGCTGTTGTAATATTAGTAGGTTTGTTTTGCATGCAACATTATGGTACGGATAAGGTTGGCTGGCTCTTTGCACCAATTGTGCTGCTCTGGTTTCTCATGATTGGAGGAATCGGCCTTCTCAACATCTGGAAATATGATAGCAGTGTTTTAAAAGCTTTTTCACCTGTATACATATACCGATATTTTAAAAGGGGGGGACTAGATGGTTGGACCTCCCTTGGAGGTATCATGCTTAGTATAACAGGTAAACTTACTATTTTGTCAGTTAGTCTTAATTTATTATATGTAAAGTTTACTGATATGATGGAAAACTGTGCATTTTGTCGACTCTCACATTAATTTTTACAATTAATAGAATAATGTTTTTGTAGAATTATGCTAAAATTTGGTGATGCTTTTTGATGACTTGTTTATGGATTCTTACAGGGACGGAGGCACTTTTTGCTGATCTAGCCCATTTTCCAGTTTCAGCTGTACAGATTGCCTTTACAGTAGTTGTGTTTCCTTGCCTTCTTTTAGCCTATTCTGGACAAGCTGCCTACCTTATGAGGCACCAGGATCATGTGGTTGATGCCTTCTATCGTTCTATTCCAGGTTTGTTCTAATCTTTGTCTGTAATACTTGTTTCGTCTTGATTTACAGGACCCTTTTCAGACAATGTAACACTGATATAAAAAATCATCCAGTGAACTAAATATTGATGATCATGCACAATTTAAAAGGGATGAATGAGTTCAAAGAATATTGTCTATAATTTTTTCTGGTATAAATAACCCATCTTATATGGGTAGTAGTTTTATCATGGATGCTGATAGTTTCTTGTTTTGCAGAAAGTATATATTGGCCAGTTTTTATTGTTGCAACTGCAGCTGCTATAGTAGCAAGTCAGGCTACCATATCTGCAACTTTTTCAATAATCAAGCAGGCCCTTGCACTTGGCTGTTTCCCAAGAGTTAAAGTTGTACATACATCAAAGAAATTCCTTGGGCAGATATATATTCCCGATATCAATTGGATCCTTATGATTCTTTGCATTGCGGTGACTGCTGGATTCAAGAATCAAAGCCAAATCGGAAATGCTTATGGTAAGCTATCCTCTAATGAATAATTTGAAGTTTGTCTGTTTCATCTTTTGCAGTGATAAAATGTGTTGTAGGAAAAGATCTCAATAAGTAAACTGCATTATTATCTAAATAAGAATGTTGAGGTTTTAGATGCTAGGTAACACATGCTAGACCACGAGGGAATTATCCTATGCTTATGTGCAAATATAAACAATATATATGAATACATAGGTAATCAATATTTATTCTCCTTGTATAAATTTCTGATAGTTTCTCCATTGAGCATCCCATATCAAGTGATGAAGCGTGATGTATTCTCTGTTTGCATACATAGTGATATCTTTATTTACATATTTATATGAATTAGAAGGAAAAGCTTATTTATAGTTCAGACATATTGGCTTTATGCATATTAACTTATTGTTTGTGACTTATACTACATTCAAGTTTCATTTCTGAGATCAGTAATGCTTTTTTAGCTTAACTATGTGATAATTTATTTTGAAACAGGGACTGCCGTGGTCATAGTCATGCTGGTAACCACACTGCTGATGATTCTAATTATGATACTTGTGTGGCGCTGTCATTGGATTCTTGTGCTGATCTTCACTGGACTATCATTGGTTGTGGAATGCACATATTTTTCTGCCGTACTCTTCAAGATTGATCAAGGTGGCTGGGTTCCCCTTGTAATTGCGGCAGCCTTTCTCCTCATCATGTATGTTTGGCATTATGGTTCTGTGAAACGTTATGAGTTCGAGATGCACAGCAAGGTCTCAATGGCCTGGATTCTCGGCCTTGGCCCCAGTTTAGGACTGGTTCGGGTCCCTGGAATTGGACTGGTGTACACAGAACTGGCCAGTGGGGTGCCTCACATCTTCTCCCACTTCATCACAAATCTGCCGGCTATCCATTCTGTTGTCGTTTTCGTTTGTGTCAAGTACCTTCCCGTGTACACAGTCCCAGAAGAAGAAAGGTTCCTTGTCAAGCGGATCGGACCCAAAAATTTCCACATGTTTCGCTGTGTTGCAAGGTATGGCTACAAAGACCTCCATAAGAAAGATGAAGATTTTGAAAAAAAACTCTTCGATAATCTCTTCCTGTTTGTTCGGCTCGAGGCCATGATGGAAGGGTGTTCAGATTCAGATGAGTATAGTTTATATGGGCAGCAGACTGAGCAGTCAAGAGACGGCCTCTTGAACAATAACAATGGAAACACAAGCTCCTCCATAACAGGCCTTACCATATCATCGGTAGACTCAATTGTGCCGGCAATTAAATCGCCGCCGCATGTAAATAATACAGTGAGGTCATCCGGTCAAATGAGCAGCCAAACAGAGACAGATGAGTTAGATTACTTGAATAGTTGTAGAGATGCTGGAGTTGTGCACATACTGGGGAACACTGTGGTTAGAGCAAGGAGGGAATCAAGGTTCTATAAAAAGATAGCAGTTGATTATATATATGCATTTCTTAGGAAGATTTGCAGAGAAAATAGTGTAATATTTAATCTTCCTCATGAGAGTCTGTTGAATGTTGGACAGGTTTTCTATGTCTAATTTTTTTTAATAAATAAGAGTAACTTGTATTGGTTGGTTTCAATCATCTATTTCATATTTCTGCTTAATTTTGTTAGCTATAAGGCTCAACAAATTTCAATTGTTCTGTCGATTTTCGAAAACTATCTAATACTTCAGGTTCTTAATACGTTTTCTATAGTCTCATAGTCTTGATAAATTTAAGGTTATTTAATAGTTTCCGAAGATCGTTGGAGCATTTGATATTTGTCGACCTCTCAAACTCAAGAACGGATGAAATTAATTCAATAAATAATCTAAAACTTTTGAAGAATATTATTTTTCAGAGAGAGTATGTACTATTTATTTTTAATTAAATCTTAAAATATATAAAATTACCCATTTTTGTTTTATATATTGTCATCTTTTTTCTCTTTATCTATCTAATAAAGAATTAAAAATAAAGAAAAATAAAGAAAAGATCTGTGTCTTTATTTCCCAAATAAAATGTAACTATACCAACTATGGATAATTGTTAATGAGAGAGTGGGGTCTAGTTTATAAAATTATTTTTAAAAGAGATATTTTTACTATTTCTCACAAACTGTTTCAACTACCAAATCTTGTTTGTCGGGTTCCACTTTCACATGCTGCTGAAAAACAGTTGAAACCAAGCTAATCAAACTAGAACACATTCCCAACATCTTTATTAAATTATTTTAACATCATTTTCAGTTTGTTGATAGCATTTTTCTTTTTCTTTTTTTAAAAAAAAAAATCTATCTCATAGTCCTCACCTGGATTAAATAAAAATAAATTTAAAGAATTTTAAAGATCCTCTTCAAATCTAATGTGTAAGAAAAAGACACTCTTATGGTAGGAAAATATCATCGTAAATCGTTGTAAAACACAACATGAAGCATGATATTTAAGTTTAATAAATTTAATTTTTTGAAATAGGGTGTTCAGAACAGTTTGGATGTTAATCTTTGTAGGTAACTAACACAACATTCTAATACCGTGATCACCTGCTTAAATCTTAGAAGTCAGAGGGATTGGAACCTGAGATCGATAAACTCTCTTATATGAAAATTGAATTTGATTTTAAAGTTATAATAAATCTTATATAAATATCATATTAAAATATAAATTTAACAACATCATGTTGTTTTGAGTCTAATAAATATATACAGTAGAATCTCTCTATAGTCATAATATTGAAACCAACTAAATTTATTACTATGAAGAGGTTATAACTTAATAGAAATGTAGTTACAAGAATTATTGTTTTGATTTCTTATTTTATAATTCATGTTTTAATAATATTAAGATTTTAATTTATGTTTTAGTAGTATTAGGAGTTCAATTAATTGTTTTAGTAGCATTAAGATAGTACGAAAATAGATGTTAAAGAGTCGTTGCAGAATTGTTTTAATTGAAGAAGAAATCGTTATTGGAATTAAACAAGAAGAGAAATGAGATAATCCTGAGGATGATAGTACGGAAATACCAAAAGTTTTGTGCCAAAAAGCTCTAAACATGCTTGAGAAGCTAGAAATATTTTGGCTTCAACAAGAAGGTGTCTATGCGAGCGACTTATTACGTATCCGTAAGATAAAAGATGTGATAACAACTCTAGAGCATAAATAATTATCCCAAACAATTTTAGATAAATATTTCATTTCATCTTAAACCTTTAATATAATATAGTATATATTTTTTCTAATATACATATAATTATTACTATGTAGAGGCAAGTTTCTTAAGATGTGACCTAGAAAAATTATAACTTATTACCATGTAAAATTTACTCTTATTTATAACTGACCCAAGTTGGGACTAAATTTTTTTATGATTACATGAAGGTTATTCTTATATAAAGTATCACTATAAAGAGGTTCTACTGTACATAAATGGTAACTTAAAAGGATTAGGTCAAGAATTTATGTCATATATATATATATAATTGAATCTTAAAATATATAAAATTACCCGCTTTTGTTTTATATATAGTCATCTTTTTTCTCTTTATCTATCTAATAAAGAATTAAAAATATAAAAAAAAATATTTCTGTCTTTATTTCCCAAATAAAATGTAACCATACCAACTATGGATATATGATTGAGAATGAGAGAGTGGGGTCTAGTTTATTCTTTAAAAATAATTAAATATTATTGTTAAAAGAGATATTTTTCTATTTCTCACAAACTGTTTCAACTACCAAATCTTGTTTGTCAGGTTTCACTTTCACATGCTGAAAAACAGTTGAAACCAAACTAATCAAACTAGAACACATTCCCAACATCTTTTATTAAATCATTTTAACATCATTTTCAGTTGGTTGATAGCATTTAATAAAAATAATAATAATAATCTATCCCATAGTCTTCACCTGGATTAAATAAAAATAAATTTAAAGAATTTTAAAGATCCTCTTCAAATCTAATATGTAAGAAAAAGACACTCTTAGGATAGGAATATATCATCGTAAATCGTTGTAAAACACAACATGAAGCAAGATATTTAAGTTTAATAAACTTTATTTTTCTGAAATAGAATGTTTGGACCAATTTGAATGTATCTCGACTAATCTTTGTAGGTAGTTAACACAACATTCCAATACCATAATCATCTGCTTAAATTTTAAAAGTAGAGAGATTCGAATCTGAGATCGATAAACTCTCTTATATGAAACTTGAATTTGATTTTAAAGTTATAATAAATCTTATATAAATCTCATATTAAAATATAAATTTAACAACATAATGTTGTTTTGAGTCTAATAAATATATACACAAATGGTAACGTAAAAAGTTTAAGTCAAGAATTTAAGTTATATATATATACGGCTTTAGTTAGTCAAACCATGCAAAACAAATTCCAAAAATCTTGGAGGGAAGAAAAATAACGACCGGTAGAGGTAGTTATTATCCTTTAAATTTTCCGAGGAAACGCCATTCATTAATTCTTGGTTAGATGCCATTCAAACCCAACACAACATACGATTACGAGGAGGAGTACTACGTAGGAAAAAACATTTTGGTTTTGTTTTGTTAGATTTTTTGTTTTTGACTTTGTGTTGGCATGGTAGAGCTTTGTGTCGACGTCTATTCTTCCAAGGAACCTCACCACGTTGCCTGTTCTTCTTCGTCTTTCCTTTTGGTATTGTTCTAACCATGGGTATGCGTGTTTTTGTTTTTGTGTTTCTGGGTTGTTTTCGATTCATTTCATCGTTGCTTTTACTTGCCTTTTCATTCACGATGTTATTAAACCTGAGCAAGACAAGGAGGCATGATATAATAAGCTTTATCTTTCAAGATGAGATAAGGAGATAGGGATACGATGTTATCTTTCATTTTTTTAACGTTTTTGGGTTGTTTTTGATTCATTTTATCGCTGTTTTTCTTGCCTTTTTAATTCACAATATTTATTAGACTTGAAAGGAGTAACAATGGACGAATATATTTATTAAGGTTAAACCTGAATGATATGAGGAATCATGATATAATAAGCTGTGTTTTTCAGAACGGAACACGGGGATAAGGATATAATGGATCTTATTTTTCAAGATCAATATCATAGAACAAGGACAATATATGTTACAAGTACAAGACAAACTATGAAATCTCTAATTTTGAAAATCCATACTTAAGAAATGACTTTGATTGGATTTATAATATTTTTGAGTTTTTGTGGTTTGGATTTGTGAATATTTTTGAACCTGCAACTTATACATACATATGTTTAATCTATGCACAGCAGCTTAGATTTTATTGGTTCAATCTGAATCAAAAGTAGCACCTGCATTACTCAACATCCTTCTTAAAAATTTTAGAATGATCAACATTCGTGTTATATGAGTTGAGAGATTCTCTGGAGCTCAAATTGGGATATGAATAATTTTGAAAAGCTGACATTTAAGTTTCCGTAACTGTTTCTATGATTTTCAATAAGTTAAAAATTTCCATGTATTGAAAGGTTTGGAATTGCACTTGATGAGGAATTGTTTGCGAGGATGTGGATTCTGATAGATAGAGAAAGTTAAGATGAAAGTGACAGACTGAGGGAAGAAGATAAATTGGAGAAAGGAATTGGTGGAATCCTTTGAGCCAAGTTAATACGAATGGCTTAAAAAATGAGTGATGGTCAAGAAATTGGTAATCAGCCAGTGGATGAAAAGGCTGACATGAGAACAAGTACACACCAGAAAAAGGTTAGATTGAAAATTTATAATACTGTCTACTTTGAGATTAATCTATTAGGTTTTCGCTTTCCGAATCGTCGAAAACTTGTTACACGAATAACAACCATGATCTAAAAAACTGCTTATTCAGTGTCTGTTTTTTGGCCTCAGAATATATCAGCTTTATTGCTTATGCGGCTTGCATTCCAGAGCCTTGGAGTGGTTTATGGAGATTTGGGCACATCTCCCTTGTATGTTTTCTACAATACATTTCCAGATGGAATTGAAGATACAGAAGATGTTGTGGATGCTTTGTCATTGATTATATACTCCCTCACTCTCATCCCTCTCATCAAATATGTTTTCATAGTTTGTCAAGCAAATGACAATGGCCAAGGTAAACTCAGATCTCATTCTTTTCTGCAGTTTCATTGTTCCATGCATCCACATGTTTGGAAAGCAACCAAATTCTATGAATAGTTATATAGAACAAGTAGGAAATGTAATGGCAAACTTATGGTTGCTGTGGTGCAGGTGGGACATTTGCTCTTTATTCTTTAATCTGTCGACATGCGAAATTAAGAACCCTTCCTAACCAAGACCGGTCTGATGAAGAGCTAACGACTTACAGTTTTTCCATACACCAAGAACAATCATTTGCTGCGAGCTGCAAGAGATGGTTGGAGAATCATGGTAGCAGTAAGAAAGGACTTCTAGCTCTTGTGCTTATTGGCTCTTCTATGGTAATTGGAGATGGGATTCTGACTCTAGCTATATCAGGTACATTTTTCACTCACGGAAATATAATGAGTTAATCATGCCATATATCAGTGAAATGAGTAAATTGATGCATTTTACTTCGTTCTCAACTTCATCGAAAAATGCTTAATCCTACTGTTTT